TGATGGTATACGATAATTTCCGGTATAATTTTCATTGTCGCGTCGAAAACGAAGTTAAAGGAATCTTCCACGGAAAAAGCTCCGCCTCCATTACCACAGAAAAACGATACCTTTAGGCCCCTAGCCTCATGAGCATAGCAAAAAGAACGGAACATAAGCGTTAGTTTCGATAATTACTAATCCGTACAAGACCCTTTAATGTTCGTTTTCTGTGATAATGAAGGCGGAGCTTTTTCCGTAAAAGACCTCTAACACCTGGCCTATTTTGGGTGACATGGAAAAATATGTTCAATGAAGAGCAACCAGAGAAGAATTCTTTTAACTCCTTATAGCAGTAACAAATCAATGTGCTGTGTTTTCAGTACTAGATCCACTTTATCAGTTTCTGCATGTGTCATAGCGCCTTTCCTATACAACGATACAAGACGACGCGTCAAGCACTCGCAGAAAGCGGGTAAGCGATGACCCTTACGATTAGGACGGAGCTTTTGAGCCACGTATCTTCTAATCGATCGTTAGTTGAAAGCTGGATGGCATCTTTGATGGCGGCACAGTGATCTTATTCATAAGAGGAGATTGTCAGGTGGGAAACGAAATGGTTTCACAAGTGGTGCTAATAGCAGAGCGGTCTGAGGCGAGATTAGGGCTGAGGTATCTAATATGAATACTGAGTCCCATGGATACTCCTATATTCCGGGCTCACAACACAACTCAACAAGCGGTACAAGGCCCGTTCTGCAGGCATATTAGAGCAGATAATCAGTCCAGGCTTTTCCAGATCACGAACCCCTTGCCTAATCACACAAACTTGTTGCGTTCTCTTCAGGCACCTGGCACTAATTATTTGATCCCGAACACAACACCATTTGAGAGTTTTCGGCGGTAAATTTGCAGAAATCTCCCACTTTTCGTCGTTGCGAGGCAATGAAAAGGCCTGCCAGTTGTTTGTTTGTGATGGCGCTAGAAAAACTGTATCAGCTTGGATGAATAACTCACAGTCGAGCCAAGGCTGCGCGATGCTCGCGAGCGTGGCAGCGCGTCGTATTGACGAGCGCCGGGCACTACCATATTACTGTACATATGGAACTATGTCGTGTAAACGAAAGCAGCATTTGAAGCAAGGACATAATGACATATTGTACAACATTGAATAAGTTTTATTATACGAAATGGCCGACATACCAGTTGTCTTTCATCGATCACTAGTAGAAGTACTAATATGTAACATTGCATTTAGGATTACGCAATAGCGAAGTGCACCATGGTAAAATATTTCAGTTATGTGGCATAGTAAAGCGTTTTTCTGGTCTGAGTTTTAATTCATCCATTGCTTTTGACAAAGGAAATGGTGCAGGATTGACAGGGAGTGGATGACGCAACGCCATCTGAAACTTTGACAAAATGTTTTCCAAGCTTCGCCATTTGTCGATACATCAACATCTCCCTTCTTCAAGGTTTACAGAATTTCTCATAGACATTTTCTGGAACCATGGTGGTGTACCCGGAAGCATTTAAGAATGCTCCTAAGAATGGAACTCAGGGAGAACAACAAATGTCCATGCCAGTACGATGACACACCCGGCGGCATAGCGGTCGTGGTCGTTGTGATCATTGGTCGCACATCCATTCTAGGAAATAACGCTTCCTTCAAGAATTGCTGCGTCACTGCATTTTGAAAGCTTCTCCGAACAGCTTCAAGATTGATGCCCCGGTAATTCAATACCGACTTTTTCTTAATTCTGACAGGAGAAGTGGATGGTTCACGAGTCTTTCCAAGATAACAACTCCTTAACACATTCACGTTTCGACTTCTTTGAATTTATCAGAGCCTAAAAAGCTGTGATACAATTGAGAGATCCCCTTACACGCCCCTCAAACAGGCTGGAAGCGCTTGGGAAGACCAATCCAAGGACCATATGTATCTTTTATAGCCATAACATCAAGGAAGACGAGACTTGAGTTGTATAACGGCTCTACATACGCAGATAATCCCGGGAACTGGTTCGCGAAAGCAATCACACTATCTCACTCTGGCGTGTCGAGCTATGCTAGAAATTCCGTCCGATGAAGTATAGCAGACAGTCAAAAGAAAGAAGGAACCTCACAGCCGACGGGTAACTGTAAAAGACTACAACGGCTGATGATGAGTCAATAGCCTTGTATGGATGCAGACGCTACGCAAATCCTATTTCGGATCCATAGTATGCGTCGAAGATGTCCCGCGTGTCGGTCAGGAGTACGTTATAACCTAGTGCATCGGCGTGCATCAAGCTCGCTTAGGCAGGCCAGAATCAACTGGTATTAGCGCTTCTAGGTGATAGCTTCCTTTAACTGCGAACACATGAAGTGGATTAAAGCAAGAAGTCTTGGACAACGCTGGAACGAAGGCATTTTAACTATGTGGGGCGATGGCGAGACAGGGCGGTCAATGAAGACAAAATACGCGAGAGAGCACGTCGTTCGAGAGAGCACGCTGATCTATACATCAATGCACGCTGATCACCATCTCTCGTTGTGGGTGAGATGCACTGGAATCGGAGGTCGATGGTTGCAGGCCGTAAGGATTAGCGCCCTAACCGCGCAATTTTAGCGACGAAGCTGGAGTGATCTAGGTAGGTACGGACCTCAGAAGTTTCCTCGTGGTATCCCTCCTACTAGTCGGGCTAATCCCGGGGTTTGCCTTCAAGAATTATGTAGTCTAACAATCAATTCGCTCAGTCAATTCAGAACAAAAAAATTCCGTCTGCTAGTATGACGTTTTGAATAATCTTTGAGGTCGATTTGGCTTCTTTAGTATGTGCTGCGCTACTTTTTGTTATCTGAAGTAGCACATCTGCGCGTGTATCAACTGAGCAAGCATTGGCAAATTCTGGGAAGGTGAAAGCGTCAGATGCTTGCAAAAGCAACGCTTTTTCATTGTTGCATACAAGGTATATAAGCAACTTTGGCGGAGGACTGAAATCACATTGCACGATGGAGCACCTTTCCCTAAATAGTATGTGCTATCCGCAATAAAAATCGATCCATACTCGTGGACTGAAAGTGCCCGACAAGAGCGCTAAGGCCTTTTCATCCGAGTAGGCTGGTGGAAGAATAGCTCGCGATGGAAGGTTCTTCATTTCGAAGTCGCTGATGTCCTCTTCCCAATTCTCTTATGTTGAAGTTTTCTGTCGTATCGCACAGTGGCTGTAGTACTGTCGGTCCATCTATCGTCGCTCACGCACATTCATCACTCAATAAGTTTTCCGTTCTCACTCTTAGTTATCGACGGCCTCTCTTACTTTTTTCTACCAGCAGCCCAATTCACATCTACCATCGTTTCCTACTGGCATTTCACTTCATCTCTAACATCGGAACATGTTGCGATCATGGAGTGTGATTCTTAGTGCCGTACTGAAATCATGGACAGGCTACAACAAAACCGTATCCATCAATTTTCATGTCAAGATCAAGAGAAAGTCGTTCTTGGATTAGTGAGGTCGCCCACAAGAGAGCGTCGCATGTGCGCCCCAGGAGATAGATAGAAGGATTTGCCACATTAGTCACCACCTGAAACGCAAACAACTTACAATTGTGACATACCTCCCGCATTATTGAGGACCATCTTCTTCTTTGAAGTCTGCCGATTCTCAGCCTTCTTCCCACTGTCGGTTTCTGAACAGTAAAAAAATTGATGGATTCACTTCCTCAATACCAGTTTACAATAGATAGTGAGCACATCCTCAGAAATGCTATCATTAGCTCACAGAAGGCTTTCGTACATATACTTTCTCGTTGTCAAAGTAATCATGCGTTTGAGCGACCCATTTTTCATCGTCTGGACCCGGTCTCGCGAATGCTTCTGAATTATAGGAAAAGATCAAGCAGACAAGTAAAAATAATAGATTGACGATTTCACAAATTCAGAAGTGCTCTCACCAAGTTCACTCCTTTCTACTGTTTCGATAAGTGAAGGTAGGCCATACCATGTATCTGTGGAACTCAAAGGAGAAGGTGATGGTACCGAGCTTTCTGCTGCTGCTGGAATATGCCACGCATTCAACAGATCACACTTTCACAAGAAACCTATGAACTGGGACATTCTATTCAATCTCGCGTGAAGAACTTGTACAGAACTGTCTTAAGCTTACGTTTTTGGAAAGCTCTTCTAGCGCAACTCCGTTTTTCTGTTATCCATGTTAACTTATGAATACGTATCACGTTCCCGTCTTTAACGTGGGTGCATTTGCTGTGAGTGTGTTGGCTGAGGGTCCTCCAACGTACGCGTTGTTGCATGTTGCGTGATAGTAAGCTTGGCATCCAGTACGAAATCCTGCACCCTGCCTCTTTTACGATCGAAAAGGGAGGTAGCTGCGAAAAATGGTCATTGGTCTTGGGAACCCCTAGAATTTCACAGCACCTACGCAGTGCACCCCATTTGGCCTAACAGCTGATGATCACCTTACGAATCGCTGGTGTCGTAATTTTCTGGTTTTGGCATAAGCAAAACAGTTAGGGTGGAATGAATACTGTTTATTTCACAGGATCGTTAAACCTTCACTTTGGCGAGACTTCGCCCAAGCACGCCTGACAGGTATGAGAAGTAAAAAAGAACATATGGACGGAGATATACGCGTTTTATGAGACTGATTTGCTGCAGGAGTTAGATTTGAACGTCACCCCAGTCAATAGTACTAAATTTTGTCTTCCATGCACTCGCAACTCTCCTCGAGTCTCGAATTTTCTGCTAAAGACTCTCCTAGTATAATTACTCCGTTGCTGTAATTAATCGGTTTATTATATCTTTCTTCAATACTGTACAATCACGGAAGTGAGGTTAGGCGGCCACTCTCGGGAAAATCACGCCCATAACATGCGACCATGAAGCGAAAGGAGCGTCGTTGTGAATGCGCTCTTCGATAAATGGCATTTCCTGCTGCTGTGCCTCAAATGCTCGGCATAATTTTTGTGTCACATTAGATTAATAGCTCATTCCCTCTGTATTTTTTGTTCTCGCTCAGGATTTCAGAGTTGTATAGGAATCCGAATTATCTATTCCTGATTATTTAAAGACACATCACCAACCCTCCGCCCGTGGTCGTAGTTTGCGCGCCATCCACACTACTTAACGACTTCTTGAGTGGAACTCGGAATGGCGTCGATTGGTCAGTGAGAGGAGATGGCAGCTTTGACTGACCCGATGTCGTCATTTCGCTGCGAGAAACCGTAGAAAAAACGCTACCTCTGAAATTCGATTTTGATAAACAGTTTGTTCGGAATTAATTCCTTGTTTCGCTTTTGAATGATCGAAGCAGAGCCTAGTGAGACACTTGAAATTAGTTATGAGGTTAGACCATGTTGTTATGTTATTTACGAAATTCCTCGATTGAAGATTTCCGTACAAATGCAGTTGTGCAGTTGTACTTACCATCCCATCTCAAGCCGATTGTATTCCATTCTCAAGGCGGCAGCGTTGTACTCAGCAACAGCTTTTCGAGTAGCTGCCCCTAACACCGTAGCAACTTTCTCAAAATTACCACAACTTTCCTGCGCTCGGCAGAGCGCAAACTACCTTAAGTCCTACGCAAGCAACCTGCCATCGTTACTCGAGCAAGTACTAACGGCGCACTCGGCAAACAAGGCTAACTGCTGCAAACAGCACTTGACCGCACTTCGTCTATTTATTGGCCTCCATTGCTGTAGTTTTCAGAGCTGATCTCAACAGACCCTTTCATTTCTCTCGTCTGGTCCATCAGACGAGAGAATGAAAGGGTAAAGAATAACTATATCCACAAACTTTTGCTTGTGTAGGGTTGTCGAGGGTCTCATCATCAGAAGGGACTGGTAAAGACTGAGGCGGTCAGCATGCCCCGGAAAAAACTCCTGTTTTTCGTCTAAAAGATGCGTTGAAGATGTTAATACGTTTCCGCTTCGCAGTATGAAACATCGTGGCCCTTGCGAAACTCATTGACGGAAACACATAAACATCTTTTGGCAGGAATATAAAGGGTTTGGTTATGACTCTGTCTAATACTATGTAACGTATACGTAACCTGTTGTAACGAAGCTGACTATCTTCCTCCATGTTCGACTCTGTTTCCGAACTGCAAACTCTGAAAAAGAGCTGTGCTGAGGTGTAATGATATGAAAGCTGAGGTAATGCCCCTTAGACTATTTCTTTTATGATGCGTGCAACTCTGACTGCAACGAGCGTCGACTATATCCTTTTCTCTCCGACGTCAGGTGTCAAAAGTCCATCGGAGTCGCCCGCACCTTTTTGTGACTTAATCAACTGAGTTGATGCCAAAAAGCAGCTAGTACGATATGGTTGTACAGTATACTTTGAAACTGCGTCTTAGAAGACCTATTTGATCATCTGTGAGCACGACATCCTATTCTGCTCTTCTACGAGGGATGGAAGATAACTCTCAGTCACTAAACAAGCTGAAGGCGATTGCTAGCACTGATTCCTGCCATGAGTATTTAGACAAAAATACTAGTGGTGAACGCCCTGCGCATTTTGGCTCGCGTCTCGTGAGTTGCTCACAACGTTTTAACCATTTTGAAATCGTCTTCGAAAAAGTACAAGCATCCGACCTTGACTCCCTATCGTATTTCCTCCTCAGCGCACATCATCTTGCTGAGCAGCAGGCCTCCCTTTCAGGCCTACTTTTGAGCCTTATTACTCACTTTTCTGCTTAACTTTCCCCTACATCAATGACCAATGAGGGATGTCTGGCAATAAGCCTACTTAGGCTGTTGGAAAAGGTATTAGGTAGCTATGATATGGAGAGAAATACACATAACGCAGAAATACAAATAAATGCTGTCTGTTTTCCAAGCGATATGCGACGAGTGTGCAACTTATACAGGCTGGGGCGGTGTCCGTTCCTCCAAGTGGTGCCACTGGAAACTGCTCACTTTTGTGAGCTGAGCCGACGCGGACATTCGAATGCAGGCGACAGGCCCCCGTGACAGGCCGGCCTACGAACACCCACGTCACATCACAAATGTCATGTCGCTATGAGTATCGAGATAATGCTACGGCGTCCGCGGGAGCCGACGCGCACTCGCAAAGCCCGGCGAGTGTGAAAAGTATGCGAGGGTCTCCGGTGCAAGGACGGCATCGGGGGGCAACTAGGCTAGTCCAAAAGTCCCGCAACGTATGGAAGGTTCGCGTTGCAACATTGAATGTTGGCACATTGACAGGTCGCTCGTGCGAGTTGGTAGAAGCACTGGAGCGAAAAGAATTGATTTCTGTGCCGTGCAGGAAACGAGGTGGTCCTGCTGCAAGTCGAGGGACATTGGCCGCGGCTTCAAAGTCGTTCTCTGTGGCAGTCCCAGGACAACCAGCGGCGTCGGTGTGGTTGTCTCTGAACGTTTCCGCGATTCTATTGCGAATGTCGAACGTTACGATGACCGCTTGATGAAGATCGTTGTTGCTATGGAGCAGCGTCAATACCACATCTTTTCTGCTTACGCTCCACAGACTGGCTGCTCCGAACGAGCCAAGGACGAGTTCTGGGCCCTGTTAGATGAGAAAACCGCTGAGGTACCATCGGAGGACGCTATCATTGTCGCAGGTGACCTTAATGGACACGTTGGATCTGCGAAAGATGGTTATAGTTGTCATGGTGGGTTTGGTTATGGGTCACGAAACGCCGATGGTGAGCGAATTCTTGAATATGCAAGCTCTCACAATCTCACCATCGTGAACACAAACTATCGTAAACGTGACTCACACCTCATCACGTTCTACAGCGGTAATACCAGAACTCAGATTGATTTCGTTCTTGTCAGGCAACGTGATCGAGGGCTAGTGACGGACGCGAAGACAGTGCCGTACGAGACAGTCGCTACGCAACATCGACCACTGATTTGCACATTAAAGATTGCCCCTCCAAGGACCAAGAAAGCCGAACGGTGTGGGCCTGCAAGGATCAAGTGGTGGCGATTGAAAGAAAAGGAATCCGCTCTGTTCAGTCGCATTCGGCTACCGCCAGTAACGACTGTCGACGAAACATGGAAATGTGCCACAGAAGCGATAGTCCGTGTTGCTCGCTCCGAGCTTGGCATTACGAAGCCTGGACGGCGGAAAATCGACAAGCAGACATGGCTGTGGACCGACACTGTCAGAGAAAAAGTACGGGAGAAGAAAAAGGCTCTACCAAGTGTTCCTCTGTGACAAGTCAAGCGATAACTGGAACAACTATCAGAGCGCGAAGAAGGCAGCAAAGAAAGCTGTGGCTGTTGCTAGAGCAGTTCATCTCGATGGCGTTAGCGAGAAGCTCGAGACGCGCGACGGCGAACGCTATATTTACAAACTAGCCAAGGCTCGCCATCGCCAGACCGAAGATATCGAGAAGTTCTTTGGCATCAATGACGAGAACGGGCGACTCGTAATGGACCGCAAGAGGGCTGTGAAGCGGTGGCACGACTACTTCGAGAAAATCTCGACAGTGGAATTCTCACACCCGCCAATACCTTCTGCTCCTCCGGTCCACGGCCCTGTCTCGAAGATAACTGTGAGCGAAACAGAGGCGGCTTTGAAGAAGATGAAGACAGGTAAAGCAACGGGTCCCGACGACTTGGCGGCCGATCTGTGGAAGTCACAGTGCTGGAATCCAGCAGAGTGGCTGACGAACTTCTTCAACCAAGTCGTCGCAGAAAAGAAAGTGCCGGAGAGTTGGCAACAGAGTACGACGATCCCGATTTGGAAGAAAAAGGGGAGTCCTGCAGATTGCACGAGCTACCGACCAATTCGTCTGCTCTCCCACAGCATGAAGGTATTCGAACGAATTGTAGATCGCCGTATTCGTGACATAGTCCAGCTTACCGTGAACCAATGCGGCTTCGTGACTGGCTGCGGCACCATTGATGCCATACACGCCGCTCGTCTTCTGCTAGAAAAACACCGTGAAAAACAAAAGCCGGTGCATTTTGCCTTTCTAGACTTGGAGAAAAGGCTTTTGATCGCGTTCCACGTGAAGTAATATGGTACGCCTTACGACAACATGGCGTCCCCGAAGAGCTTATCGAGTGGGTTCGCATGCTTTACTCAAGCCCAAAGAGCCGAGTGCAAACGTCAGCTGGCGTTTCGACAGAATTCCCCATCTCTGTTGGGGTACATCAGGGCTCTGCGCTCTCCCCACTTCTTTTCGTTGTCGTCATGGATGCCATCTCAAGAGATCTTCAGAAACCAGCTCCATGGACGCTTCTCTATGCTGATGACGTGATGCTCGCCTGCGAAGACAAAAACGTACTCGAACAACAAGCGCAAGCTTGGTGCGATCGCCTAGCGATGTTCGGACTCAGGTTGAACGTTAGGAAGACTGAGTACCTGACAACCGACACGAGCGAGTGCGGTTCTATCAAAATAAATGGAGTAGAGCTGACACGTGCAACGACATTCAAGTACCTTGGATCAGCAATTGCGTCTGATGGCAGTATGAGTACTGAGGTGAACTCGCGTGTGAGTGCGGCTTGGTCCAAGTGGCGTTCTATGACGGGAGTTCTCTGTGACAAGAAAATCCCAGAACGCCTAAAATCGAAGATCTATAGGACAGTCATAAGACCAGTGGCATTGTACGGCGCTGAGTGCTGCCTGGCCAGCGACCCGAGGGACACTGAAACTCGCCTCGGTGTAATGGAGACGAAGATGCTGCGCTAGACGGCTGGTGTCGCGCGATTAGATCGCGACCGGAGCGATGTCATACGAGAACGCT